CAAGGCAGATGTAGTGGCCTCTAACCTGTCAAGAAGGCCCTGGGTCTAATGAAAGGATAGAGGCCTCCCCATGTGTGGCTTACTGTATGCCCTTCTTCATCTGCCCAGGCAAAGAGCCAGCAGGGATGAAGAAGTAAAGGAACAAAGATATGGCCACTAACTCCCTTCCTCTGCTTTTAATAAAGTAAAGAGGCTGTCCAGCATGTGCTGGGTGCCAGGAAGAGAAAAGCAGAGTACATAGTGGAACTATTTAACAAAAATTAAATCGTTACTAAAGTTAGAGAAACAGCGGTTTAGAGCGGGAACGGCCTTTTATAATCAGAGCCAAAATGCATCAAAGTTCAGAGCAAAAGATCACCAAAGAACCAGTATAAAAGAGCCTATTTGCATAACTGAAACAGTTCCACTTAACATTACTGATAAGTGACCTGCTGATTAATAATCCATGAAGTTTCTGCAGCCAAAGCACTGGTTGTTGTGAGCTCTGTACTAGAAACCAACATACACCAGATCTCACAATAAGTACCAAATATACACAGGAACACCCCACAAGATTGTTTTAGTGCACTGCCCTAAATTTGCATTGTGGGTCACATTTGGATTAGTAGCAAGTGTTTAAGGCTCTCATTTCCCTTTCTGTAAAGCATCTCTAGGAAGCTCTTTCGTCCCTTTTTTTGCCTGCCATTCCCTTTAAAGGTAAAGGTTCCCTTGCTCGAAAGCCAGTCGAGTCCAACTGTAGGGTTGCAGTGCTCATCTCCGTTTCAAAGCTGAAGAGCCAGCGCTGTCCGAAGATGTTTCCGTGGTCATGTGGCCGGCATGACTAAACACCAAGGCGCACGGAACGCTGTTTCCTTCCCACCAAAGTGGTACCTATTTATCTACTTGCAATTTCTTGCTTTCGAACTGCTAGGTTGGCAGGAGGCCATTCCCTTTACATACCAGTTATTCTACCATCCCACCTACCCCTCCAAAATATCTTAAAGGTTTTTTAAGAGCCATATTTGGTTCTGCACAGAGTCACATTTGGCTTTAGAGCCAGATTACAGACCCCTAGTTTAGAGTACTAGGGAATTCCACACTCAGTCCATGCAGCTATATTCAGAAAGAAGCACCTTTGGCTATCCCTTGACCAGTCTACGGATGCTTTTGGAAAATGGATTACTATCTCAAGAGGACAAAATACTTTGTAATGAGCAAGATGGGGGAATGAAGCTTCAGTGGAGAAGTATCAGTTTGCATCAACTCTTGTCCCAAACTGACAAGGGCATTGAGATGGTGCTTTCTAGTACTTCCCTCCTCAAGTCTGTCCAACGTCCTTGCCTAATTTCTCATTCTGCACACTTAAGTCACTACATACTGGTTCAATTAACTTTGTTCTTTCTGCTCAAACTCCAGCATTCACACAAATTTCACTACTCAGTCCAACAACTTCACCTGTTCTCCAGTGCTGCCTCATAAGCCTAGCTAGCACACTTGGAACACCCAAACTATATTGACTGACCCCCTCACATTTTCAAGCCCTTCCCTTTCTCTTTCACAAACCTTCCTTTAGCCTTATTCCTTATTACCATAAACAAACTAAGACTACTGTACCCTCAACTGAATTTGTTCTTTTCCTCCTTTCGTCTTCTGTCCAGCTGCTTTTTTCTTGGTATAGTACCTAAAGAAGCATTACTAAAGAGAGATACCCCTAACCTACGTGGACACTGTGCTTATCTGTGTAATGGGGACCATTACACACACTACAAAATACAGCCCATGCTTTCAATGTTACACAACAGTTTCCTGGTTCCTGACAATGTGCTTCAATCAGCATACTGATAAAGTAATACACATTCTCCTCTCAAGATCTCTATGTCCTGACCGCAAATTTGTTCTTACTTCTTTTTTCTACAGTTGTGACCATGAACAATGTTATGACAATGATGTGACAATAAGCAAGGATTTTCATTCGTTTTAATTAATGTTAGCTGCCTCAGTTTCTTCAAATGAACTTCAGGACCAAATTGTAGGAAGGCACTGAGAAAATATGATTAAAAATCTTGTCATCTCACGCAGCTTCCACCAATGGGGCCTTAAAAGAGGACAGCCATTGCACTTGATTGAGTTTATTTACTTCATTTTTACCCTGCCTTTCTCCACAATTGAGACCCAAGTGGCTTACATCAGACTTTACGGTTCCATTTTATCCTCACAACAATCCTATGAGACAGGTTAGGCTGACAGTTCATCACTAGCCCAAGGTGACACAGCAAGGTTGCATGGGAGAGTGAGAATTCTAACTTTCCAGAGGATTTTTGCCATTGACTTCAATGGCCCCATTGGATATAATGGACCCGAATCTTTTGGGTTTCCTGGAAATTATCGGATATTTATGCTTTACCAGTATAGATATTCGGTTTTTTTCGGGTTTCCAAAAAAAATTCGGGTTCAATAAATCCGAATTTTACTGAATTTTTTTTGCACACCCCTACTCCTCAGACCTATATTGCTCCATAACACGATACACTATACTCACTCAGTACTATGTAAACCTTTGCTGAATAGGTTAAGCCTCATAGCCCTCCCTGCCCTCTACAATGAAAGAACTCCCTGTTTTCAGAAGAAGAAATTTCAGCAATATGCTGTAGTGATGGCTTTTCAGGCTACAGAAACCAGAGATAAAGCAAGGAAGTCATTCTAGGGCTCTGGGCCAAATCCCCAGGAGCTCAGAGGACTGAAGAAATAAGGGAAAGAAGGTTATGATCTGATTCCAACCCGTATTTCGTAACACATTTGCATTACAAAGAATCTACCACAATTAGGTGGTCAATTATGCAGTGCATCATTTCTAGGGAATTAGTTATCCATACCATCTGGTCTGAAGCTCACACCCAAAGCCTCTGCACATGTGTAAGTGTACCTTCATCATTGTGCCAGAGCTTATCCCTTCAAACATGGAGCCATTGGAACTACCTGCCACAAATCAAGCCCTATAATCATGCTAATAATATATAACCCATCATTTCTCTTTCTGTCTGAAGTAATGTGAGCCCTTGAGTGTTGGTGGGAAGGTGTTGGTCTGATACAGATATACAGAAGAGAGCCCAGCTATCATTATTTTGGGATCTTGTATACAGTGGGCCCTCAAGATCATAGAGCTAGAACAGCAGATAATTGACAGGGATAACAAGAGCATAGCTGTGGCCTAAATAGACACTGGTCCCCCATGTTAAGTCACAGACCACCCTAGGAAAGAAGCAGCTTTGTGAGTTCAGTACTGCTGACAACCAGATAGCTGTAGGTGATTTTTTAACATTTTCTACTATGTTGATTTTATATTATTAATAGAACATATTAGAAGCTACTTTACTGGAGGGTGGGCCTGTATTTTTTTAAAACCAATCCTGAAGATCCAGTTCTTAGAAGGAAGGACTAGGTAGTTTGAAATAAAAATTACACCCACTTCATGAGTGCAGATGTACCACAGGGGCAACCTACAATCAAAACAACAGAATAGTGCAATATATACATGAGCCTAAAGATGGCTGCATATTTCTGTGGCCTCCAAAGATGCTTTCAGGTGTCACAGCCAATAGTAGACAGGCAGACAAGCAAAAAGGTGTCTGTCTTGCTTCCACTTCCACAGCCAACAACATCAAACAGAACGCAAACGTAATCAGAATTGGGACCCTGCCTAGCTGGTACTTCCTTTTTCAAAAACACAGGGAAGATGTGGCATGGCAGTTACCTAGGAGCAAGGAGACCTGGGTTCAAATTCCTTCTCCTCCATGAAGCTTACTGGGTGACCTTAGGAAACCAGTCTGTCTCAAACTAACCTACTTCCCAGGGCTATTGCAAGGATGAAATGGAGGATGGGAGGATCAGGTATGTAGCTCTGAATACTTTAGGAAAAGGACAGAATAAAAATGTACATATTAATGTTGATACTCAGACAGCATCACATATAGAGGACCACCATCCTTTATCCTATTTCTGTGTATAAAACTTATGTAGATTTCCAGGAGGACACAGAATACCGTATCAGGAGCATGTTATATGTTTTAACTAGGATTTACAACTCAAACTGTAGGTATTTAATGGCTGAACACAATCACTATAACATAAGCAGCTTTACTGTTGTGTCAGAAGAACTGTTAAGAAAAAATAAAACAAATCAAGTGGGACATTTTGAAAACAAAGTTGCAGTTGTCTATTCTAGCCTGCAGTTTCCTTGGTCCTTTCTCATCTCATCCTCACTTCCCATCTGAGAAAACTGCCTTCTCTTAAAAGTGACACAGTGTCTAGAGAATACCTCTTGTATTACAGGAGCCATTCTAACATTGCAGACCTTGTGTTCCTGTGTTTTTTAAGCCTGTTTACTGGCCACACGGCTATCAAAGAATACTGTACTTCAAAAATGCTTTGGTCTCTACAGGGCTTTAGTAACGGGACAAAAATGCTCTATACGATTTATCAAAGGGGAATCACTGGCAAGGGAGTTGTGCTACAAAGCACAGGGCTTTAAAAAACAACAACAACAGTGGCATGGGCGTGTGTAAGGTGTTGACAGACATAGTTAGAACAAAGAAAAAAGGCCAAATGGATCCACATGAAAACCCTCTTATACAGAGGCCTTTCCAGCTCTCTTCTCTGGGTATCTCAGCTGTATCCTGCATAGTTATCTTCAGTGCCCACCGTCCAAGAGTTTACAACTGAATTTCTCTCTACTTAAGAGTAGTATTTTTTTTCTTCCATCTCTACCTGTGAACCTCATGTGAATCATCAACCTACATGAGTCCTTACTAATAAAGACTAAAGTGCCACACAAGACACTTTGTGGCTATTCCTACATATTCTTGAAGAATACTCTCAGATGAAATGGTCAAACTCCAGCATTTAACCTAACTGTCTTGAAGAATACTCTCAGATGAAATGGTCCACTACCCAGGACATCAGCCAAGAGAGACAACTTGATTTACCAAAGAGGTAACCCACCAGAAAATGCAGGGCAAACTTACACGGATTTTGATCACTCGTGACTTTGCTCCACAGCTTTTCTTAAATAGCATCTTCTGAAACAAAAAGAAAATCCCAGGGTTAAGAACCAGTAGTACAGAAAGGGAATTCATGCAAGATGCAACAGTATGGTTGCATCATTTTTTGAAGTGCTAAGTAAGCCTAAGTAGCTTGCTTCTTTGTTAAAGATGATAGAAAAATATCATCTTTTGCAGAACTTTCCCCCACCACGAAGGTTTAAGCAACAGGAGAGCTGGCAATTCTACTTGGCAGTTTCTGGAAAGCTCATCACAGATGGCTAAGGAACAGAATTAACAGCGACACTCTGTTAATTGCAAGCTGACAGTGGCGGCTGTAGTACTTTGCAAAAGACTAAACGATTGGACCCTTTTCACAAGAGGGAGGCTCTTCTATCATAACCGTTTGCACCACTTTCTCTTGTTCCTTTAGGCCCAGTCCTCTTTCTTTACAGGCTGCACTCATAACACCGATTATCTAGTCTAATAAGCATATGGTCACATGTCTAAATTAATTACTTATTGATTTGAAGGAATGGGTAGAATATTAATCCTGAGAAATCTAGAGAAGCCAGGGAATCTGCACAATGTCTGAACAGCTCATGCAGCACAGTATTCCAAAAGCTAAACGTTCCAGCATGAAACAAAGCAGTTTACCATTTTGCAAACACCTCTGGTGCAAACACTGTTCCTCAGAACAGGTCTGCCCCCACCAAGCCTTACTTAGTTAGGTTTAAACTCACTCAGTGGCTTATGGGAACAAAGTCATAGCCAGTAACTGCCAGGTTGTCAAGACACTACCTCAAGCCACAATCAATTCCCTGCCCTTAAAATTACGAACTAACCAAGCAAGAAAACTTCATCCCAAAGAAAACAACAAAACTAACATAATCACAAACATTAAAATAGCCCCTAATTAAATCCAGACAGCATCCCAGAACTGATCATCACTTTAGATCAGATTTAATGATCATTTGGGACTCTTGTCTGTTGATTTTCACAGGCACGGTACTATAATTACGTGAACACATGCCTTCAAAGCAGAAAGGGCAGAAGGTAAACCAAGTCCTGGCAGTGGACCATTAGTTTCTTTTCAGCCACCTACCTATCTACCTACTGGACTAAGTGGTCCTTTGTCTGATCTAGTACGAACTATGTTCTTGAGAAAGAGGACAAATCAGGATGATTTAAATACAGTAGTTAACACACTGCTATAACGATGAAGATATCCTAAGTATGCTCTCCAGCGCTGCACTCCAGATTTGACCGTTTCAAATCAAACCCATGGCACGAGAGAATTCTAGCATTTCATTAAAAAAGAAAGAAACAAAGGAAGATGGAACTGACACACAAACCCCCTTCTACAAAGGTAAGGATGGCAGAACACATCTGATTCCTATTCTTGAGATCCGGGGTGAGGCGGAAGCAGGGGGGTAATCATGCTAAAAATAATTCTGAACTGATACTTCAAATGAACCTTTTCTTTGGTACAGACATTCTTGATGGCAGCTTTCATATTCTCCATGAGCTAGCCAACTTTCTAACTGCCTCCATTTCCTTTGCCTTTAATAGCAACCTGACATGTGGAAATTTAACAGGTCACACACACACACACAACCGGAAATCACGTCTCCAAGCCAAGAAAAAGGTTAGGGTTACTACATTTCTGCATGCCAGGCTGCTGCATATGACAGCTACCATCAGTTTATGTATCTAGGATGAGGTCTGTTTATCTGAAGTGTAGTTTCAAAATTCTGTGAAGGATTTTAACGCCATAATTTGCTGGCTGTATAAAACAATAAGCAGGGCAACCTAACTGACAGCCTTAACTCTTCGCATCTATCCCAGAGCAGTATTTTCTTTTAGTAAGGATTTACTACAAACGTGTCAAAATCCCTGCTTTGAATTCATCCTGCTAAGAGTAGGGCTGCCAATTTTTATAGGCTCTACTTCCTGACAGCAATTCGATCTGCGTACAAAAAGGCACATCATAATGGTATCGGATGACTACAGAGAACTTCACCTACTGCTTCTTGAAGCCCAGGCAGCTCTTAAAAGGCTTAGAGAGCAGAGCAGCCCTGGCCATGGACTTCCAACTTGAAATCAAAAGCATTCATCCCCAAAGCTCTGGGTTATAAAATGAATCTGAGTAAAGATTCACCTGATCTCATCAGATCTTGGAAGCTAAGCAGGGTTGGCCCTGGTTAGTACTTGGATGGGAGACCACCAAGGAAGTCCAGGGTTGCTACACAGAGGCAGGGAATGGCAAACTACCTCTGAATGCCTCTTGCCTTGAAAACCCTACAGGGGTTGCCATAGGTTGGCTGTGACTTGATGGCACTTTACACACACACACACACACACACACACACACACACACACACACAGAGATCCACCCGTGTGGGAAGACGGCAGCCTCAACCCACACAGAATGCAATTTCTTGAGAATTCCCATAGAAACAAATTTGGGCTTTGTTCCCAGCCCTGCTGCAAAAAGGGTATTATTAGGATGTTTATTGGGCAAGCTTTTAAAAGTCATCCTATCCCCCCCCCAAGCTCTGTGAGATTCTCTTGAAAAACATCCCCTTGCAAAAGAGAAAGAGTTGGACAAAAGGTCATCAAACCTTATACTTTTTTTTCACCTTTGCCACAAAACCACCCATGCCTTGAAACTCCTGCATGGCAACCGTGAATAGGGCAACTCTGAGAGCACAACACAGCTGTTTTAAATGGCTAGGGTCTTCATTCAGCCTTGAATGGAATTCTGTAAGTAGAAACTGAAGGAAGCAACAGCTCAGTTCCTGTTCTTTGGCAGGCAGCCAATGGTACCAGAAGAAAATGGTGATGGGTGAGAGGAATGGGTTAATATCCATTTGTCTTCTTCCAAGATTCTTAACTGCAGATGTGGAATGCACACCACCCAGGCTGGCCATATTGCCAAGCCCCCCACCCCTGGCATCCAAACTTGCCTAATTATGCAAATCAAATACATTAATTTGGGTATTTTCTCCCAGTTGCTCTTTCTCCTAACTTTTGTTTGCGGTGCCGGCTGCTAAGGCTAGGAGAGAGTCATCGTTATTGCCTGTTCTGTCTGCCTTTTTCCCCCTTAGAAACTGAGACAGCAGCCCCACCACATCAGAGGAAGAGATTTAATTTGGGTAATGTCAAGGATGCCAAGCATCACCATAGGCCCTCAGATAAAGATTCCTCCTGGGCCCTCTTTTCCCACCCAAGCATTATGTGAAAGTACACTGCATGATTTACCCAACTCCATGATCCTCTCAGGTGACCAGAGATGGAATGGCTCCAGAACAAACTAGGTTAAGCAGTAGCCAAATCACTCGCTCACAACTTTAATGCTAGCAGCTCACAAAGTAGAATTTTTGCTCACAAGACTCTACAGCTTAGAGAGAACATTGCTCCTGGGCCCTCTTTTCCCACCCAAGCATAATGTGAAAGTACACTGCATGATTTACCCAGCTCCATGATCCTCTCAGGTGACCAGAGATCCAGAAGTATCACCCCCCCTGCCCCATCTCTCTGCTCTACCCCCCCACACAGCCCTGTTCCTGCTTCTACAGCTGCAACAGTTCATGGCTTAGCACTGCTCCTCAATTATGTGGAAGCGGAGAGGGAAGCTATCCCACTTCCTCTGAACACAGCAGGCCAAGGCTCACTCAATGGAAGCAACAGTTGAGATCCAACCCTTTGTGTTAGTTTCAGGTTAATTTTAGTGAGATCTCCGTAATCACCACCCAATCCTCTGGATTGATATTTTAAATCAAATCTGATCTTCCAGCTCCACTCCAGATACTTGCAGCACCAGGGTGAGTTGTGAACAACCAGGCACACTTGCACCATCTTTGCAACAAATCCAGGTGACTATCCAAAAGAGTAATACAATAAAACACAAACAGCAGTGCTCAAAAACAGTGCTAACCCTGCTTGTAATCCCTCTTGAGACACGCACCCCATACACTCACGGTTTAAAGAGAACAGTATATTGAGCGCATTGGTGCAGTAGGCAACTTTTACCTTCACAGAGGCAGCCAAGCCAACCAATAGCTGCTGTAAGTAGAGGCTCAGAACTTATTGCATTGCGGATATAGAGGGAAATGTTTTTCCTGCAGCCTTCCATTTCAATTCAGGGATGGCATACATTAATATTTACCATCAGCTTAGACAGGAAGTCATGCTGTAGAACATTGGCAAGGATTCCTTACAGGAATATAAACCCTACTTGGACTTATCCTCTGTTTAAAGAGTGGCAAGTGGTTCTCTATTCCGCCCCTCCCTAATCCTGGCAAGATAAGGTTTATAACTTGTGGGGGAAAGGAAACCAGCAAAGAGGGGAACAGGTATTTTGCATATGCATGCATGTCTGTCAATGCTCACAAATGCCCCCAAAATTACAACCATTAAAGGTAAGTTCCACCCACATCAGTAATGCCTCTGTTTCTCCTACATAGCACCTCATAGAGGGGCCAGATGCAGCATGTCACTAGCAGGTCTGGGGGGAAAACAGTACAGAGACCAAACAACTAGCAGAAGAGCTGTAATGTCAACCCAGGTTAATTTATTCTCAATAGTCTAAATCAGGCATGTCCAACTTCGAACAGGTAGTGATCTATTTTTTCCGGCCAAAAGTGCCGGTGATCTACCACCATGAAAATAAAGTTTCAAATTAGTTTCAAATTAGATTTTAACCCACTAAAGTTGGGTTCCACCGCCTCCCCCAATTTATGATGATGCCAAAACCACACATGCAGTTTTAAAAGTAAAAATAAGAATTCATCATACTGGCGCCAATAATCAAATACCACCAAACAAAAAACCCCAAACACCTGTCCAGCAAACCAGGAGACCAAGTGGGGCTGGTGATCTACCTCTGACCCCTCCGCGATCTACTGGTAGATCACGATCTACCTGTTGGACATACCTGGTCTAAATAGTTTGCATACATGGTCTTGTCTCCACTGACATTATGACTTCCCACAGGGATGCAAAATGCAGGCACATCTCAAATGAGACCTAAGAAA